CATATTAAATGAATCAATACCACTGGAATGCGAAACACCTACACCTATACTATATAGTTCTTAAGCTATCAGAAGCTGTAGTTCTGATATATAGTTAATGGAATTCTGAGAATTTTGGATAATTTTATGATGAGATCTCATTGTAGAGAACCAAGTGACCTCTATTTGAATATCATTTCAGTTTTAAAGCTGTTTTTTTAAATGCATTTGATGATATTTCAATACCTAAAAATCAACACTGACAGTCATAACCATGAAATCCTGATCTTCATATATATAAGAATATAAAACGTGTTGGTTTGTTTCCATGGGCTATCAAATGACAGTGGAGGGGGAAAAATATACCTTGTACATTTCGCAGAGTCATCTGTTAATATTTCTCAAGCTTCCTAACTGCATAAATGCATGCATTTTTATGTAACTTAGAGACACAGGAACGTGATTAGCACATCAACGGCTTCGCTAACAATATATTTGCCTTCAGCGATTTATGTTGTAGTGAATTAGAACCATTCAACTTGGCACAACATACTCAGATATTATTCACAGGCTGGAAAAGCAACAAGAAGATAAATATTCTGCCACTAATGAAGCTGCTTCTTCCCACCATGTTTACAAGCTCTCAGCTGTGGTGCAGCTGATACTAAACTGTTGCTAAGAAAAAACCAAGCAATGTAAATAAGTAGTGAGGGGGGAGGGGAGAAATGAATCTGCAGGGGAATGTGTTAAAGGGGGAGGGTCTTTAATAGGGATTTCATTCTAATATCTCATGGGGATAGAGGGGTCCCAGAAAAACATCATCACCCAAGTGACTGTTTTCTTCGGCCAAACAATCTTTTCTGACTTGTTCCCTTTTAAAGCTTGCTTTGTATTGCAGTCTTACTTTATATTTTGAAACGCACAAAACTATAATTAAGGAAAGACTGCAGACTTCCTCCTCCTCATCTTGTACCGATGTAGGAACCCTCTGTCATTTCAACTTGTGTGCAACACACAAACACACTTGTAGTTAAAATATTTTTAAACATATGAAAAAGTCTATCCAATTAAGTAGAACTGGGTGATTGTTGTTGTTTGTGTGGCGGAGGCTGGCAGGAAGAGGGAATTGATTGTACAACCAGTTCTATTATGGGCACCTAAGGACTCAGCTACATTGGCAAAGAAAAAACGCTTTATATGTGTTGTTTATTCATTCTAACACTGTGACACCAGATGGTGCTGTGGAGTTTCTGTTTCTGCTTACCCGATTTCTCATACAAAGTTTGCAACACGTTTAACTGAAATGCTTCTTTGATGTGTCTAGATCCAGCCTAAATGCTGTAACATATTTCTAGCATATTGTGTACATCAGATCGACAGTGCGCTGCAAAAACATTCAGTCAGCGCAAAAACCAATTCAGGTCTTCCAGCATATTCAGTTTATTTCTTCATTCCTCAGCTTGTGTGGCTATGCATACATTTTGAATGATAGATTTTGATCTGGTAGATAGATAACATTGCTAGGCTCTGAAACTGAAACCATGGAGATTCCTATCACACATCGTTCTCAAATTATGGGAGCCTTTTGCTTAGTCTTCAGCAAAATGTGTGGATAATTAGTCACAGGGCCTAAAAAAGAGCTGCTTGGATTAGATGATCTATGAGTTTATGTCCTTCAAAATCTGTCATTCCGTAACTGGCTTATCCAGAATCATGCAAGCTGCATTATATACCTGAGGAACATACCAAACTTCACAGCTGGCTTAACAGCACAAGCAAAGTACATAGATAGAGGTGATCCTGTTTGCAATGCGTAGTTAGACTTTCAAAAAGCATTTGACGAAGTACCTTCCAAAGATTCCTGAATAAGCTTAGCAGTCATGAAGGAGAGTTCCTCTCTTGGGTTAGTAAGTAGTTGAGAAAGAGGAAGCAGAGAGTAGAAATAAATGGACAGTTCTCCCAATGGAGGGATATAGAAAGGATTGGTACTAAGACCTGTGCTTCTTAACTTGTTCATAACTGATATAGAGTTAAGTATCCAAGTTTGCAGATGAAACCAAGTTGTTCAGGGCAGTCAAAACAAAAAGGGATTGCGGAAAGCTCCGAAAGGATCTCTCCAAACTGAGTGAAAAGGATGTAAAATGGCAAATGTGATTCAATGTACACAAATGTAAATGGATGTACATCAAGGCGCACATATATGAACTGTATGTATGAACTGGCAGTGACTGGTTAGGAACAAGACTTTGTGATCATAGCGGATAACATGGTGATTTTTTTCACAGAGGAACAGTTAGGCCCAGAGGTGCCAGCTTGAGAGGGCAATTGTGAGGGGATGCATGTGTGACGTCCTGACGTCACACGTGTGAGCATCACGCCTCCCTCCCTAAGCCAGGCAGAATCTTCCATGGTTGGGGAAGGAGGCACCAAGGGAATATTTAGGGGAATAGCCTAGTCCCCCTAGTCCATTGACTGCATGCCATTGGTGGATAACTTAATGAATATGTTGCCACTGTGTTTTTTATAAGGTGAATTTCATGTTAAGGATAATTAGGAAACTGGTTGAAGATAAAACTGGCAATATAATGTCATTATACAAATCTATGGAGCGACCCCACATGGAGTACTGTGTTCAGTTCTGGTTGGCTCACCTCAACAAGGATATTATAGAGCTGGAAAAGGTTCAGGAAAGGGGAAAAAAACCAACAACGATCGATTGGCTAGAGAGGCTCCTCTATGCAGAAAGGTTACAATGCTTGGGATGTTTGATAAGAGGTGAGTAAGAGCAAACATGACAGAGGTGTATGAAATTGTAGAGAAAGTGGGCAAAGAAAGGTTTTTCTCACTGTCTCATAATACTAGAACTCAGTGACATTCAATGAAGATGAATGCTGGGAGATTCAGGAGAGAAAAGAAAGCACATATTTACACAGTGCATAGGCCAACAATGGAACTTGCTCCCAGAGGAGGCAGTGATGGCCACCAACTTGGATGAATTTAAATGGAAATCAGACAATTTATTGGAAATAAAAAAGTTTCCTACACACACACACGTTTCCTATCTATCTATCTATCTATCTATCTATCTATTCCTTTTTCTGGGATATATACAGAACTTCCCCTTCATGGATCACCGCCTTGTCGTGGCGAAGGGGCTTGAATAACTCAGAGAAACTATGAGCTATGCCGTGCAGGGCCACCCAAGATGGACAGGTCATAGTGGAGAGTTTAGACTAAATGTGATCCACCTGGAGAAGGAACTGGCAAACCACTCCAGTATTTTGCCAAGAAAACTCCATGGACATAAAAAAAGGAGAAGCTTTGAGAAGAAAGTGAGAGTTTCCAAGGCATTCTCTGGTTCATGGGGTCACAGAGAGTCAAACACGACTAAGACGACTAAACAACATACAGAACTTAAGAGATTTTACACAAAAAGTGAACAGCATGCAGACAATGGCACAGAACCAATCAGTGACTGCATGCCAGTGAAAGTGGAACAGGATGGAATTAGTTGCTCAATCCTTCCCTAAGAACAGAGAATATTTTTTAATTGACACTGTGTCTATACACTCTATACCTTCAAAGCACATTCAAAGCGCTCCCCCCTTCAAAGCATTGTGGGAACTGTGGTTTGTTAAGGCTTGCTGGGAACTCAGTGAGGAGCAAGCTACAATGCCCTGAATTCTTTGAGGGGAGCTCTGAATGTGCTTTAAAGGTTATTGTGTGCAGGCAACCTGATGGAAATAATGCAGGGTAAATACTGTATTAAAAAGTAACTTTAAAATTTGCCCTTGTCTTATACATGGGTAGTGCAGAGGGGGGTTGGGCGACTGGTTGCAGCCACGAGCAGGAGATTTTCTGCGGCGACAGGGCGGGTGATTGGTGGCTGTGTGAAGGGCTGTTTGCGATTGGTTGCCTCTGTGGCAATCGCGCGGTTGATTGGTGGCTGCAGGTCTTCAGCGATGCATGTTATCACCAACGGCGGGTGAGCGATTTTCGGCTATTCCAGCCCCCATAAAAGCTCAACAATTCTGTGCCCTCTCCCCCCCCATTTTCTTAAATCAGAGTCCCCCAAAATAGGGGGAATCTTATACATGGGGGCGTCCTATAGACGGAAAACTACAGTACAGTGGTACCTCGGGTTACAGACGCTTCAAGTTATATACGCTTCAGGTTACAGACTCTGCTAACCCAGAAATAATACCTCACGTTAAGAACTTTGCTTCAGGATGAGAACAGAAATTGAGCGGCAGCGGCGCGGCAGCAGCAGGAGGCCCCATTAGCTAAAGTGGTGCTTCAGGCTAAGAACAGTTTCAGGTTAAGAACAGACCTCCAGAACAAATTAAGTACGTAACCAGAGGTACCACTGTACACGAAAGGGAAGCACCCTAAAGTCAACAGAGAATGCAAAGCAAAATTACTGAAAAGACTACAAGCCTGTCCTCTGTTTGAAATCCCATGTACGCATATTCTCACACACATACATACACATATCCCCAACGTAAGAGTGTCCCCAATCACTAAATGTTTGCCAATATTAACTATAAGATATTTACAAGCTCTGCTGGAAAAACCACCACAAAAAGCTTTTCTGCGAATTTGTGTATTACAGAAGTAGCCACTCAGCCCTCCTTTTCTCTGCCACCCACGCAAACCACACTCAAATGCCGCCCCCTACCCCCACTTCTGTATATATTCTTAAAAAAAATACTTTCCACAATTAACTGTCTGTCTATCTGCTCCTGGGTGGGCGGGCTGAATCATCCCTACATGAATGCCAACCTCAGACAAACCCTATCTACCAGAAGGTGTTCCTGAAGAGAGGAAAGGTCAGGACCACTCCAAGTAGCAGACCGGAAATATTTTCTAAATTCCATCGTACCTTTCACCACCCTCACTTTCTCAAACCCTGCTTAGAGCTTGTTTCCTCCCCCTTGTGAGGAGCCTTTCAGGCACCTTGGAAATAGAACAAGAATCAAGTGATGGAATGGTTGCCATGGAGAAACTGCGAAGTTTTCTTTATTTTGAGTTGAATGGCAGAGAACTGCAAAAACACAGCAGCAGCTGTACAACTTGGTAGGAAATAAGCAACTGCCAATCAGGGACTACAATAATTGGTAACTTAAAGAAAAGGAGAGAGAGAGAGAGAGAGAGAGAGAGAGAGAGAGAGAGAGAGAGACTAAGGGTAAGAAACCATATCTTTTTCCTTCTTCCGCCCAGCTCTGTTCCTTCTAATTCTTTGTGAATAAGATACTGACTTGGGAGGGTTATGACTAAAATGTCCAACGCAGTATAATAAAAGCTCCTCCTACATTAAATTTACCCAATATTTTTAACGCAATAAAAGGCCACCCCTAAATTTGATCCATGTCTGATATTTTAAAGGCACAGGCTTCGTTTATTGCAATTTGGGATTTCAAGATCATGCAGCATCTCTCCAGATTTCTACAGGCTCTCTCTCTCTCTCTCTTACACACACACACACACACACACACACATATGGGTTGCATGTAGATATTCCATGAGCAGAGTTTCATTCACAGGACGTTGTGTTGGAAGGTGAGGTGGGGAAGTAGCTAATCTGCAGTGTTCCAGCACATGAAATGTTCAGATTTACCAGGAAGTCTCATGATTTTAAACAAGCGCAGATGGAAATGCCAGCAAATTGCAATAGTTACCAGTAAACTTCATAGGGAACTAAGCGCCTTCAGAAAATTGAAATCAGTGTGGCCTTATCAGAATGCATTCATCGTGGATACAGATGTGAAAAGCATATACTTCCAAATCACATTTCAAAATCCAAAAGTTTCTGCTGCCATCCACCACCTTAAAAAGTTGCAAAATCTGAACTCACGTGCTAACAAAGAGTAGTATGACCCACATTAAGGATGTGTCAAAGAGGAAGCATGAAGTGTTCACTCTACTTAACACCCAAACAAGTTGGATATTAACAGATTGGTCAGGGTTAAGGAATAGAAATAAAAGTCATGTATGTAGAGCAATAACAGGAATCAGTTCACTGCTAATCACTTGCCAAATTACAGTAATTTTAAGACTACATGGCAGAGGTAAGATTCAAGGAGGATATGTATAAAGCATCTAATGTTAATTGTTAAATAGTGAAATCTGCAATTGCATCATAAAAATTGCTACTTTCTATTCCTTTAATTACAGACCAGCACCATGATCATAGAACCTATCTATCAGAGTATTCCAAGCTGCACACTTTTTGAAGGGATCTGTGTGGTTTTTTCCATTCCATGTGCTAGTTGCAGGTTTTTGCATGGCGTTGCTGTTCCTCTGCATAGCATTAGGGAGACAAGAAGACTTGCTGGGGAATACACTGATGCTTCCTCCCAGGTTTATGGCATGTTCTTTGGTCTGGCTAAAATCTGCTGCCGCTGACTGGCAGAGGCTGAATGGGAGATGGAAGGAAGCAGCCCAACTTCATTTGCTAATACTATCAGGGACAGCTTAGAGCAGGGCTGGGAAACCTATTACAGCCTAAGGGCCACATTCCCACATGAAGAACAGTCTGGGGAACCACATGCCAGTGATGATGGCCAGAGCAATGGTTGGGACTCTTACCTTTGCACAGGAGGCTAAATTTCAACCATCCAAAGGCTAAGAGGTTCTACATACTCCCCATTTCTCCATTCCGGCAAGCAAGAGACATTGTCACAGCTCAAGGACATATCCCAGCCAGGAGAAAGAACTTGAGGAGCATGTGCAGCAGGGTTGGTGATGGGTGTAGCCTAGACAAGGGTGTGGCCTAGGCAGAGTCCCGAGGGCTGAGCAGAGAAGCCTCCAAGCATTAGGTTTCCTGCCCCTTGCTTGGAGGAACCTTCTACCTCCTTTTCCATCACTTCACTGTCATGCATTTTAAGACAGCACATGTGTGCAAATCTGGCCCAAACTGTAAGAATAAACAGGCTCCAGGAACATCTGAGGGACAAAATTAAGACAACAAGATTTGTTACAGAGTCACCTGTTTGCGAGTTCAGACCCAGAAACCTCCCCCCTAAATAAATTCACACTTGACTCAAAATTTTGGTTTCGGTTTTTGGCAGAATTTAGACCACAACTTTACTGATTACAGAAAGTAACTGGTTGCATAGGCTCTGGTTTGACCCAGGGTTCCAGCATAGATCAGCCAAGGGTGGACACCTGGATAAACGGAAAGCCGGGAGCAGGCTAACTCCACCACCCAAATGTCCCCCTGGACTCAGGCACGGGCACAACCCCCTCTCAGGGATTGATCAAACCATCAAGTCCCTGGATTCCTTTAATGGAATACCCTTCACATAGGGATGGCGAGACCGTTCTCCCATCCCTATCACCTGAACCACAGCCTATCCGCAACCTTACAAGTTGTGACGCTTTGCTACACGGCAGGCGAAACCCATATGGCAACAGCAAATCAGCCAAGTGGGGAAAATTCCTGCCATGCCCCTGTTTCAATGACAGACGACACACGACAGCATAGCAAGGTCAAGCGCAAAGCCCTAAAAGTAGGAAGAGGTGGGCGGATATTCCGAATGCACGTGCCGAAAGAGGAAGCTCTGGGTCATGTGCATGGGCATAAATAGGTTCCTTGAACCGTTTGGACTGCGTCCCATTGGCCAGATTGAACCCAGCTTCAAGGGACCTACCGATCGGGTATTGTGGCTGACCAATCGTACCCACCCACAACACAGGGTGTCGGTTTTCCAGGTCTCACCGCAATGTGTGCCCTCTTTAAGGGAGGACCCGATTTCTGTAAAACCCACACAAGCTACAATTATAAAATCAAGGGTGTGCAAGCAGTGGAAATAGCATGCCAGTTCAATTCCATTGCGCTGCCATTCCATTTTATTACCTGACGGGTTTGTGCCAATGTAGCTGGCAGTGGAGTGGCAGGAACGAAGCAACACGGCCATTTCCACTCCTCCTCCAATCATCATTGTGGAAGACCAGTTCCACCTTGCCCCGCCCCAAGCTCCGTAAAATGTTGCTGGGTAACTCCCTGAGCTGTATAAAACATACATGGGAAACTCCTGCCACATTGAGTTATGTTACTGAAAACAAGGCACTGCTGTTCCACTAGGACAAGGGACTTGAATGGGCAGAACAGACATTTCTCCTCTCCTCTTCTCTCCCCTGCAGTCAGCCCCCCCCCCCGAGGGTTGGCAACCCTCTGGAGAAGATTTTGGAAGGAAAAGAAATGGAAGTGCCAGTAGAACTCTGCTGGTGCTGCTTTGTTTATAATTCATAAAAACCTAATTTTTAAAGCCAAAATAGAGGCCTTTCAACATTAACAAGTTTAACAGAGCACTCAGCACGGATCACACAATAACCTTATATCAGTGTTCTCTGTCTGCCGCGGTGGCAGAAACATTAGCCAAATAACCCCTATACTGTACCACAACAATGAAGCAACTACGTATAGTCCCATCTTTTGCTAAAACCCAGCTCTGACAGCTTCCCTGCCCTTCTCAGGCATGAACAGCAGAACCAATGCCACTTCCTGATGGAGGTCCTGTGTGTTTTTTGGCAGCTACTTTTGGGTGTGCTTCAGGCTCTTCTTTTAGAAACCTGGTGCACATTGGCTCCTAGCTGAAAATCAATTTGGATCAAAGCCTCCACGGGTCCATGAGAAAAACTCAGTCATATTTTGAATGTACCTCTTATTGGAAAGAGTACATCATGCAGCAGTACAGCCTGTGTAAAAGACACTTATCAGATCACAGGCTTACATCTAGGGATGCTTGTGGAATTTAATTTCTTTGAATTCTGAGGCACAGCGATCTGGTCCACACTTCCTGGACCGAGGGGAGGACCGCGATGTAATTATCCTACGGATTCCACACTTCTCTGAATTTTACAATACAGGTCCCCACACAAAAAAGTAAAAAAAAAATTATTAAAGGGAGATTATACATGTAGAAATGTACACATTGAGATAAAATAGGTATTGAAATATGCATTTTGTGAAAATATCTATATTTAACTGGAATTTTTGCAGACTATACTGTATACTGCGAGCTTCTTGCCAGGCTTACAGCTTCTGGTCAAGCACAGAGTTCTACTTCTGCTTCCCGTTGCCTGCAGTGATGCGCTGTCTAACCTTTCACAGGGGAATGATTAATGGACTTCAATGTCTGTACACTAATGCGCAAAGCATGGGAAATAAACAAGATGAGCTTGAGCTCTTGGTACAGCAAACTAAATATGACATAATAGGCATCACTGAAACCTGGTGGGATAAGTCCCACGATTGGAATGTAATAATGGAGGGATACAATCTATTTCAGAGAAGCAGACCAGACAAGAAAGGAGGAGGAGTGGCGTTATATGTCAGGGATGTGTATACCTGTGAAGAGATCCAAGATTTAGAACCTCAAAGCCAAAGTGAGAGCATTTGGGTCAAAATTAAGGGAGAGAAGAATAACAGTGACCTCATTGTGGGAGTTTACTATAGATCCCCAAGCCAAACGGAGGACATAGATGATGCCTTCCTGGAACAGATGGCCAAGCATGCAGAAGGGAGATAGTAGTAATGGGGGACTTCAATTACCAGGATATTTGTTGGATGTCAAACTCAGCCAAGAGCATAAGGTCAAACAGATTCCTCACTGGCCTTGCAGACAACTTCATTGTCCAGAAAGTGGGAGAAGCAACAAGAGGAACAGCCATTTTAGATCTGGTCCTAACCAATGTTGATGACCTGGTTAGTGGGATAGAAGTGGAAGGATCATTAGGCGCGAGTGATCATGCTCTTCTGAAGTTTACTATACAGCGGAAAGGAGCAGCCAAGCATACTAGGACTCAATTTCTTGACTTTAAGAAAGCCGACTTCATAAAACTTAGGGAAGTGCTGGGTGAGATCCCATGGACAGTAATACTAAAAGGAAAGGGAGTTCATGATGGCTGGGAGTTTGTTAAGAGGAAGATAGTAAAAGCACAACGTCAGGCAATACCAATGAGACGGAAACATGGAAGGTGCCTAAAGAAGCCAGGGTGGCTATCTAAAGAACTTTTAACTGAGTTAAGATTAAAAAGGATGTGTACAAAAATGGAAAAGGGGGAACCACCAAAGAGGAATTCAAACAAATAGCCAGCACGTGTAGACACAAAGTCAGAAAAGCTAAAGCACAGAATGAACTCAGGCTTGCTAGAGAGGTTAAAAGCAACAAAAAGGTTTTTATGGGTATGTTCAGTAGCAAAAGGAAGAACAAAGAAACAGTGGGGTCACTCAGAGGAGAAGATGGTGAAATGCAAACAGGGGACACAGAAAGGGCTGAACTCCTCAATGCCTTCTTTGCCTCAGTCTTCTCCGATAAAGAAAACAATGCCCGACCTGAAGAATTTGGAGCAAATGATTCAGCAAAGGAAACACAGCCCAGAATAACTAAGGAGATAGTACAAGAATACTTGGCTAGTTTAGATGTATTCAAGTCTCCAGGGCCAGATGAACTGCATCCAAGAGTATTAAAAGAACTGGCAGATGTGATCTCAGAACCACTGGCAGTCATCTTTGAGAATTCCTGGAGAACAGGTGAAGTCCCGGCAGACTGGAGGAGGGCAAATGTTGTCCCTATTTTCAAAAAGGGGAAAAGAGAGGACCCAAATAATTACCGCCCAGTCAGTCTGACATCAATACCAGGGAAGATTCTGGAGCAGATCATTAAGCAAACAGTCTGTGAGCACCTAGAAAGGAATGCTGTGATCACCAATAGTCAGCATGGATTTCTGAAAAATAAGTCATGTCAGACTAACCTGATCTCGTTTTTGACAGAATTACAAGCCTGGTAGATGAAGGGAACGCAGTGGATGTAGCCTACCTTGATTTCAGCAAGGCATTTGACAAGGTGCCCCATGATATTCTTGTAAAGAAGCTGGTAAAATGCGGTCTTGACTATGCTACCACTCAGTGGATTTGTAACTGGCTGACTGACCGAACCCAAAGGGTGCTCATCAATGGTTCCTCTTCATCCTGGAGAAGAGTGACTAGTGGGGTGCCACAGGGTTCTGTCTTGGGCCCGGTCTTATTCAACGACTTGGATGATGGACTCAAGGGCATCCTGATCAAATCTGCAGATGACACCAAACTGGGAGGGGTGGCTAACACCCCAGAGGACAGGATCACACTTCAAAACGACCTTGACAGATTAGAGAACTGGGCCAAAACAAACAAGATGAATTTTAACAGGGAGAAATATAAAGTATTGCACTTGGGCAAAAAAATGAGAGGCACAAATACAAGATGGGTGACACCTGGCTTGAGAGCAGTACATGTGAAAAGGATCTAGGAGTCTTGGTTGACCACAAACTTGACATGAGCCAACAGTGTGACACGGCAGCTAAAAAGCCAATGCAATTCTGGGCTGCATCAATAGGAGTATAGCATCTAGATCAAGGGAAGTAATAGTGCCACTGTATTCTGCTCTGGTCAGACCTCACCTGGAGTACTGTGTCCAGTTCTGGGCACCACAGTTCAAGAAGGACACTGACAAATTGGAACGTGTCCAGAGGAGGGCAACCAAAATGGTCAAAGGCCTGGAAACGATGCCTTATGAGGAACGGCTAAGGGAGCTGGGCATGTTTAGCCTGGAAAAGAGGAGGTTAAGGGGTGATATGATAGCCATGTTCAAATATATAAAAGGATGTCACATAGAGGAGGGAGAAAGGTTGTTTTCTGCTGCTCCAGAGAAGCGGACACGGAGCAATGGATCCAAACTACAAGAAGGAAGATTGCACCTAAACATTAGGAAGAACTTCCTGACAGTAAGAGCTGTTCGACAGTGGAATTTGCTGCCAAGGAGTGTGGTGGAGTCTCCTTCTTTGGAGGTCTTTAAGCAGAGGCTTGACAACCATATGTCAGGAGTGCTCTGATGGTGTTTCCTGCTTGGCAGGGGGTTGGACTCGATGGCCCTTGTGGTCTCTTCCAACTCTATGATTCTATGATTCTTTCCCCTAATTCTGACAGGACAGGGAGTTTTGGAGTTTTTGTGGTTTAGCTCTTCCTGTTCTGTGGATTAATTTAGCCTGTATTTGAGGGGATTTTGTACCAGTGTCTCTGATTCATGTCTTCCCCTTGTTCAGGGTACACGGATGTTTCTAGGCGAAAGGTCGGTTCTAAGTGCTGTTTCAAGCAGTTTGCAGT